TGCCCGCCCCTGGGCTCTTTACTGCCGGACCTCCACTCCTGTGCACTCCTGCAGGAAATGACCCCTGCATGTAACTGTATGACAGGATCTCAACATTTCCCCCATGTAGAACAGACAATTGGTAGTGAATGGGAAATGGGTGAGAGGACAGAATGTGGCATAAATGCCTAAAGGGGAGGTGGCCGATTTCACAAAGAGGAAGGGGAGGGGTGTGGCTCACCAGCAGAGCATCTACTTGGCATGCAGAAAGTCCTGGGTTCAATCCCCAGTGTCTCCAGTTAAAAGGATGTGGCAGTAGGTGATGTGAAATGCCTCTCCCTGAGACCCTGGAGAGCCACTGCCAGTCTGAATACACAATACGGACCTTGATGGACCAATGGTCTAATTCAGTGAAAGAGAGCTTCACATGTTCTTGAAATGTGGTAGTTAAAGTCCACAGAAACCCAACAGGGATTAAAGTCTTAAACTGAAATGCAGTGGGTGGATCTACACGACAGTCCTTTTCAGCAACGGCACAAACAGAACTTCCACCTCAGGGAAGTTTGCTCAGACCTTTCCCTGTTGCCATTTAGATGCCAGGCATGGCTTGTTTTATTCCAGAGGGCACTTGATGTATTTGAGGCGTTATTCTGAGTTGTGGTTTTCCATTAGGCTGGGCGGCTCTTTTAAAATCTCTGTGCAAAAGACTAAATGGGCATCAAAAGGGGCAATGTCCAGGAATCCAGTGGGAAAACATTTCAGTCTCTCAATGGTTTTCCATTAGGCTGGGCGGCTCTTTTAAAATCTCTGTGCAAAAGACTAAATGGCACAAACTGGGCATCAAAAGGGGCAATGTCCAGGAACCCAGTGGGAAAACATTTCAGTCTCTCAGGCTGCTCTGCGGCCAAACTAAATATTGCCATTCTTCCAAGGAAGGAACTTCAAAAGGGAGAGCCCAACATGAAATTGCTGAATCATGAAGCTTGATATCATCCTCTTAGGGCCCAAGAGAGATTCTGGACTCCTCTCACACAGCAGGTATTAAATTAGCTTACTGAGTCTAGCTTGATCGCATAATGTCCCTGTTATGGTATGTTATGTCCCTGTTATGGTCACTGTTGCTCTTGTATACATCTGAGCTTTGCATAGAAACGTCATGCACCGGATCTCTTGATATCAATGGCTTTGACCCCACTGATTGTGACTATCTGGTGCGTGTGCCCCCGCCAACTAAGGACACACTTCATACATCGCATGAAGTGAACTCTAGTTCAAAAAATGTTCTGCCACAACTAATTTGTTAAACCTTTGAAAGGTGCCACGAGATTCCCTTTTTTTGGTTCTGTGAATTTCAGCTATGATGCTTATTGCTCTTAATCTTCCGGCCAGTGTTCATTATTGATAGTTAATGTCCGCAGTGGCGTGGCCTGGATGGCCCAGGCTACTCCGATCTCTCTTGGAAGCTACGCAGGGTCAGCCCTGATTAGTACCTGGAGGGGAGACCACCGAGGAAGTCCAGGGGTGTCATGCAGAGGCAGGCAAAACTACTTCCGTTCGCCTCTTGTGTTGAAATCTCAGAGGGGTTTCCATAACTTAGCTGCGGTCTTAATCTTCCGGCCAGTGTTCATTATTGTTAGTTAATGTCTGCAGTGGCGTGGCCTGGATGGCCCAGGTGTTGAAATCTCAGAGGGGTTTCCATAAGTTAGCTGCGACTTGGTGGTACTTTCCACGAGTCTCCACCGCAGCCCGCAGTGGTTTTCACACTATTGTGAGACACCATGAAGACTCTTTTGCAAAACTCAGGGTACACATATTGTAAACAGTGTGGCTGGGCCCTTAGAATTCCAACAGGACTTAATCATCTCCCCACCCCACCCCCGGTTTCTCAAAGTAGGAGATGAGAGATGGGTCTTGGATAGTGGCACAAATCTCCACACTGTACAGAATGAAGCAGTAGGTTGAGGGGTAGAATTCTGGACCAAACTACTTCAGACTGAAGGTGGTGGTGGTGAGAGGGGGTGTTACATATTTTTAAAACCCTCCCCATGTGAAAGCTGAGTTGCAACCCATAAATTAGCAAATCAGGCCCATGCTTGGAAGAGGAAGAAGAGGAAGACGAAGAGGAAGAAGAGATCGGATTTATACCCTGCCCTTCACTACCTGAAGGAGTCTCAGAGCGGCTTACAATCTCCTTTCCCTTCCCCTCCCCACAACAGACACCCTGTGAGACAGGTGGGACTGGGAGATCTCTGAGAGAACTGCTCCTAAGAGAACAGCTCTGAAACAACTTGTGACTGGCCCAAGATCACACCAGCAGCTGCATGTGGAGGAGTGGGGAATCAAACCTGGTTCTCCCAGATTAGAGTCCGGCACTCCTAACCACTTCCCTCAAATCAATTGCACACTCTCTCTCATGTGCTAGGTAAGTTATTGTGTTTTTCCCCCAAATATGTGAAAGGAAAGGCTACACTGAGAGCCAGCATGATGTAATGCTTATAGTGCTAACTAGATCTCGAAGACCTGGGTTCAAATCTCCACTCTGTCATGGAAGTGAGCCAGTCGCTTTCCCTCAGCACCACCTACTTCACAGGGTTGTTGAGGAGTGAATGATACTGGGAAATGTTTAGAGTCCCCACTAGGAAGAAAAGTGGCCTATAACATATGTATCTGACAGGACCATTGAGGAAAAAAACAAGAAACGTCCAGATTAAACCAAAGATTATTTCACTGCAGCCCTTTGGAACTATTTCCTGACAGGAGCAGTTGAGCGATGGAAATAGATTTCCCCCGGAGAAGTGGCAGAATCAATCCACAAAGCACACTTCCTGCACAAAACAGTAAGACATGAACAGCTCGAGATGCCCTGAAAACCCATACTAAGTCTGGCCATTTTCTCCCAAAACCAGAGCACGTGTCCTACTTTCCCCTCTTCTAGAACCCAGCTGCTGGCATCTGTCCAAGCTCCCTGGTTAGTGACTCACAAAACATGGTATCTCTGGATACTTGACCTTCTTCCTCTCGTTCCGCTCGGTATACTGTTTAGCAGCTAGATTTCGGAAGCCCTTAAATACTCAATGCACGGTCCCCTAGGGTTGGCAAAGCGTCCTGTATTTTAATAAAAGCTCTTTATTTCTATAGCCTGCCCCGCAGTACCTGACAGCCGTAAAGAATGAGATTCAAAGTACACGAGCGTTCTTTAAATCTATGCCCAAGTTCAAACAACATCTTTTGTTAGATTCCAGCTTTCCAAAACGGTCTTTGGAAATCATCGGAACAAATTCAGGCTACTGTGCTGTCAGGAGCAGAGAGTTCTGGAGCAGAGGATCTTCTGGGACAGGCGGCTGCTCCCCCAAGCTATCCCCCTCTTCCTTTAAAGAACAAAATCACTGTTCTCCTGGACCAGACTGCGATGTCACAGGAGCTGAACAGAAGTCATCTGGGCTTATTAGCAATCTTCTCTTCGTCTCTAAGGGCACAAGTAAAATCTCAGGGCATGAGTCGAGGGAACGAGCTACTTCCTACACTGCTTGAGAGGTTTTTCTGTTTGCCCCTCCCCTGCTGTCCAGGTTGTTCTGCTGGTACCAAGCACTACTAGGTTCTGCCCCGTCCTCACCAGGCCCCACCCGCTGATCTTACATAGGAAACTGTCTCATGCCAAGTCTGGCCACTGGTCCTCTTAAGATCCTCTGTCCATGTCTGCACTCCATGACTGTGCCTGCCTGTAGAGGTTAGGTGGGTAGGAACTACAGACAGGGCTTTTTTAGGGGTGGCACCCTGCCTTTGTTATACTGCTTTTACTTGGTGACCTCCTTTGAGGAGGTCTCTGGAAGAGGAGGCATATCAACTTTCTCAGTACATGTAGCTCAGTATTTTCTGCTGGGCTCGCTTGCAGATCTCCCAATTCATGAGATCCTTTAAACTAGAGATGCTGGGGATTGAACCCGGGATGTTTCATATGCAAAGCAAGGGGCTACCCTTCAGCCAAAGCTCCTCCTCAGGAACCTCCCCAGTAGCTCTTATGCTCTCAAATCTCCAGTTCTAGGGCAAAGTGGCTTAAATGTTATGCTAACAACACCTCTGTGAGGTAGCCTAGGCTTAACAACAGTCACCAGGTGAACTTGGGCCAGTCAGCTTCCATGTTGGAGTGGGGATTTGAACCCGGGTCTCCTAGATCTTCATGCAACACTCTAAGCACTACACCTTACTGGTGGGTCCCTCAAGAGAATGGCAAGCGTCCCCAAAACAGTTCCCCCAATCCAGAATCTGGCACCATCCTTCTCCTGAACAACCCACAAAGCATCCCTCAAAAACTACAGGCTTCACTTTTCAAACAGGAAAGCAAGAGATCCAAACCAAATGAAAGATGTTATTTTGAGGCTTTCGTGCAATTGGCCTAGGAGGCCATGGTGAGGCAACGGGAAAGAATCCTGGGGTACTTTTTCAGGCAACTTACCTGCCGGTTCCTTTCATCCGTGAATATGCAAAGCAAGGGGCTACCCTTCAGCCAAAGCTCCTCCTCAGGAACCTCCCCAGTAGCTCTTATGCTCTCAAATCTCCAGTTCTAGTTGTTTATCTTTAGCTCTTTAGACACCACTTTGTTCCCCAACAAGGGCAAAGTGGCTTAAATGTTATGCTAACAACACCTCTGTGAGGTAGCCTAGGCTTAACAACAGTCACCAGGTGAACTTGGGCCAGTCAGCTTCCATGTTGGAGTGGGGATTTGAACCCGGGTCTCCTAGATCTTCATGCAACACTCTAAGCACTACACCTTACTGGTGGGTCCCTCAAGAGAATGGCAAGCGTCCCCAAAACAGTTCCCCCAATCCAGAATCTGGCACCATCCTTCTCCTGAACAACCCACAAAGCATCCCTCAAAAACTACAGGCTTCACTTTTCAAACAGGAAAGCAAGAGATCCAAACCAAATGAAAGATGTTATTTTGAGGCTTTCGTGCAATTGGCCAAGGAGGCCATGGTGAGGCAACGGGAAAGAATCCTGGGGTACTTTTTCAGGCAACTTACCTGCCGGTTCCTTTCATCCGTGATCCTCTGGATTTGGATCTTTTTCCTCCCCATGTTCTGCGGAGATCCTCACAGCACGAGGAGAATTGTGGGAGGGGTTTAATTTCCAAAAATTAAAAAAAGAAAACCCTTGTATTTCAAAGCGCTGTCATTAAAAGTCCTTGCTTTCTTTTTTATTTTTTAAAAAGGTAGAAAACTACAAAAAACAAAACAAAAAGATCCGGGGGGTCTCTTCTTCAGTTCATGATATCCTGCTTCATCTGTGTCACTCCAACAGCATCAGAACTTTGTGAAGCTTAAAAAACCTGTGGAAAGACAAAAAGGGGAGGAATGAAACTTAGTGTGAAGCATAAAATAAAACTGTTCTTCTGGTGCCTAATTATATATTTATTTAGGTATTTATAGCTTGCTTTTCCCCCAATGCACACCCAAAGTAGCTTATAACATTATTCTTCCCTCCTCAATTTTATCCTCAAAATAACAACCATCTGGGTAGGGTTGCCATTCCCCTGGTGACGACGGGAAAACCCCTGGTTTGGGGGGCTTCAGCCTGCCGCCAGTCAGCTGGCCAGCAGGGAAGCCCCACCCGCAAACAGGGACGTCACCACACAATGTCCCCTACATGACATCACCCGGAAGTGACGTCGTGCAGGGACTCTCTGGTATTTGGGCAAACTCTATGGTTTTGAGGACAAAAAAACCCATAGAGTTTGCCCAAATACCAGAGCGCCCCCCCCCCGTGCGACAACTCCAGCACGATGACATCACTTCCTGGTGACATCACTGCATTGGGGACGTCACACGATGTCCCCACCCACCCCAGAACGCCCCCCAAAGTCCCCCGCTCCAGGCAAGGTAAGACCTGGCAACCCTACTCCTAAGGTAGTTTCGGAGGGTAGCCATGTTGGTCTGCAGTAGAACAGTTAGATTCGAGTCTCTTAGCACCTTGGAGACCAACAAGCTTTCGAGAGTCAAAGCTGCCTTCATCAGATATCTGACAAAAGGAACTTTGGCTCTCAAAAGTCTGTATCCCGAAAATCTTGTTGGTCTCTAAGGTGCTAGTAGATTTGACTCTCACTGTTCTTGTGAGACAGGTTATGCTGAGAGACAGTGACAGGCCCCAAATCATCCAACAAGCTGCCATGGCAAGTTGGGGATTCAAACCTGGGTCTCCCATATCCTAGTCTGACACGCCAGTCACTTCACGACACTGCCTCTGTCTACCCGTCACATTCCTGCCCAATATAAAAGCTTTTTTCCCTCCACTGAGTATTTCATTATTGTTTTTAAAAATGCACACCCCTGGTGACAACTGACGCAAAAGGCCTCATTCTCACTGAAGTGATTCAACTTGCCTCTAGACTGTATGATTTCAACTTGCATGGTGTGGGAAGAAATACTCCTCCATACCAGAAAAGAAAAGAAGTCTCGATCCACACAGAAATCTAGCGGGGCCAAGACGAAGGCTAGGATAGGCCCTTTCCACCTGACATGCTACTTCTCTGAGAGCAAGGCATTTATATTTCTGCATAGAGGAACCTTCCTTCCTTCATGGTATCCTTCCTCGCCTCTTCAGATCTCTTAGGGAGATATATTATGAGGAACACAACACCAAGGCAGCTGTTTTTAAATTCAGACAACTGTGACTACTAATTCACAGAGACGTGTTGTTATGTGCCTATGAAAAGAGAAGCCATTTCATATACTGCAAAAATCATTCCGCTACCACGTGTTGCTTGCCAAGATGTCCCAAGAAATATGTGAGGCATACCCCCCTCCTTAAAAAAAAAAAAAGGTCTTAGGTCCTTGCAAAATGTACATTAAGGGGTTATATTTTAATACTGATTTTATAAATGTTTAACTATCACAGCCTCCTCCAAAGAATCTTAGGAAATATGGGATTCTGCCAACTTTATGTCTCAAGCTTGTCCAGTTCCCCTCCTCATTACAGCCCCCTCCCATAAGAACTTTCTTCATGCTCGTCCCATGGGTCCCAGCCTAGGCTTTTTGGTAGTTAAAAGGGAATCTACGCTGTCTTTATCATCAGTAGGAACAGTTGTCTAGATCCAACCCATAGTCTAGTGAAGGTGCTGAGCGTTCTGTCAGAACTCATTTACAGCCAAACCAGATTAGCAGATTCTGGGAGATCTAACTCCAGTGCATCTTTTAAAAAACAACAAGATGAGCTGTAGTTCCAGGGGTCTCCAGGCCCCACCTGGAGGCTGGCATCCCTACTTGCCCTCTCACCCAGCAACAGAATGTTAGTCTGGCATGGCACAGTAACTCTAGTCCTTAAATCTTAGGATGCTGCCATAAAACCTCAAGGTGTCTTGTGGCACTCTTTGTTTTTGATACAACATTCTAACAAAGGCAAAAAGCAACCTATAAATAAACAAAAAGCCATTAAAATGCACAATGCATTTTTTTTTAAGGAAAAGCAGCAAAGGGACAATTCAAAAATGTCATCTCTTCAGCAGTGTTAAGCCAAGGTCTGGAAGCCAATGGATTGGAAGCTTCCTCCCATCACACATACACACAGATACCTTAAGGAAAAGTTTCCACTGGCTGCACTTTGTGTCAGAATGGCCTCCAAAACAGCGGAGGCTGTAAACAGGAAGAGCTCATTATACACCTGGGTAAGCACAGGGACAAAACAGCCATAACAAACATCTGACTCATTTTCCCTTTTTTGCCATTCTTCCAAAAAAAAAAAGATTTTTTTAAAAAAACAAGTAGTAGTAAGCGATGAAGGTGATTCAGCCACTGACTTTAGCCTGTGATAAGGAACGGCGTTCCATCTTGACTTCCTTCCTGCACAGCCTCTCTTGTTTTGTCGTCTTCTTATCAATGTTCTCCGCCTCACCGAATGGAGTCTGACTTCATGACCCTTTTGAGGGTTGGTGGCTACCTCAAGCCACTGGAATGAGCCTCACAAACCCGGCCTGCCCGGGGTGGGGCTAGAATGCTCGGCGTTTCTGTCTCTCAGGCCAGATTCAAGTCTCCACAGTTTGGACACTTGGAGCTGGGTGGGGAAAAGGTTATTCAGGATGGCATGAGATCCAGGAATCTCGGGACAGAGATGACAGCCAGGGTCTGGGGCAACGAGGGCAAGGAAGAGAACAGGAGGCTGCTCGGGGGGGGGGGACTGGACGGAACCACTCCGATTGTGGCTTCAGCATGGCGGAACAACCTCGTCTGCAGCAGCCAAGCGGCGTGGGAGCGTCTGCCCAGGGCTGCACCACCAGCTCTCCAGTCCACCCATGTGGGCTTTCCTTTGCACCCCATTCCCAACCCATGAGGCCTTGCAGTGAGGATAGACTAACTCGGAGCTTACCAGCTGCTGCCCTTTATTCAGTTTATATCTGTAGTACCTGGCACTACGTTTTATGGCACACACACGGCCCACCCAACAAAGTGACATTTATGTCACATCTGGCCCTCAGAACAAATGAGTCTGACAACTCTTCCTTAAGCCCTTGTCCAAATCAGGAGGCCACTGCAGCTGCTTTTAAGTTAAAAAAACCCACACACATAGAGAAACATGGCTTTCCCCTCTCTTTTGGGACAGGATTTTTAGGAATGCCACAGTCTTCTGACAGATTTCACTTCCGATGTGGATATTTTATTCTGCTGATGGAGAACAGTATCTTGGTCCTTTCTTATATTCTAGTCTATCAGATTTGCTTTGGATCGGGAGTGGGAGAGAATTAACAGCAGCTGGGTGCTGAGTTTTTGCCCAAGATACTCAGGAGGGGATAAAAAAAAATCAGATGCTGTTAGATGCACAAACATCTTGCACGTGCTTGGAAACGTATGTATAAACAGTGCAAAAAAGCAGGGGACTTGCCTCCCCCACACACATACACCCTGGACAGCAAGTCTGAGAAGTTCTGGGTCTTTAAAACCTCATCAGTTTCACTTCTACAGTAAAGAGGGTTTTTTGGGGGGGACTTTCAGCAGGTGTGCGCATGGGGGGGGGAGTTTATGGAATTCACAGCAGCTCTGTCACAGCACTGGTACACAGATCTTCGTTTGGTTCAGCCGCAGCAAGGGCTACAAAACACAGCTGTGAAACTGAGGGACCTGAAAGAGCAAGAAGCTTCACCTATGTAGGGGTGAAACTGACAAAGAGGTTTCAGGGATTGGAAGTTCCACCACCGCTATCTGAGGTCTTTGCACTGAGGACAGATAGTACACAATTAGCGATGAACTTTCCGGGACCAGTGGCTGGATGTTAGCAGGCCAATAAAAAGAGGTGGGGGTTAGAGCTTCTGATGGGAGAAAGGGGGTGTACAGATGAGTAAGTTGTTCGGAAATCCTGCAGAACTCTTTGGAGTTTCTGTGGCTCTCCCTGACAGGATGGAGCACAGCAGCAGGATCCAACACCGAAATAAAAGGTTTGTTCACCCCTACTAAGCTCCACCCGGGCCTACTAAAAGATTTCAGGACTGCAGAAACAGAAGCAACTTCTGTTTTGAGTGCTGAACACGATTCATTGGGATTGGCACTCCCCTGCGTCTGCTTGTATGCTTGCTTCCCACCTGCTCAACATGTACATTACAGAGATGTACATTTGGTCCCACACTAATGGAAAAACAAAGCAAAATCCATATTGTGTGTGTGTGTCCATGTTCCTTGGGAGGTGAGGTACAGTTCCTAAAAGTTTTGCCCAAATTGGATGGAAAACAAGGAGAACTGGAGGACTAGAGAACTGCAGGTATTTTTTTAAAACAAAGCCCACTCGGAATTGTGTACCGAGACTACCTAAAGCAGGATGCTGGCAAAAAAAGCACGCACACCGGTTTTCTTCTGCAGACGTTTCATGCTGATGATGGGGTGAAGCGAAGAGGACCCACACTGCCTTGCAGACCCCACCCTTGGCAAATCCTACTAAGCGCCTCCATCTCAGACACTGCTCTGAAATTCCACCTGCTGCACCTCATGCACTGAAGTCTGTCTTGGCTGCTCACTGGAACAGAAACATTGGGGGAGGCAATTATAAGAAAGCTTTTGTGGCAGTGAAATGCTGGGTCTGGGCACAGCAACTGGAAAGGAGGAGGCGTACCAGTGTAGAGGCTGAAGCTGTGGCAGTGCTATGGCCTTCCGAAGCCAGCAAAGCTCAAAGGCGTTATCTGTTTCAGTCACCCACAGATCTGCTCTTCAGTAGCACAGAGCCCCCTCCCCAGCAGTGAATGCAACCAACTATCAATCACAAAACTTATCATGAGAGGGGAGAGGCCTCTGGGTCTTTAAAACCTCATCAGTTTCACTTCTACAGTAAAGAGGGTTTTTTGGGGGGGACTTT